CGCCGCTCGAGAGACCGGTAGGAAACCGGGGCCCAGGGGCTGGCGGCCTGGGGTCAGGCAGGATTCGGTGCCCCAGCTTCCGGAGTCCACTTCTTGGGGGTTCAGGAGGAGGTGGCACTGCTGCGGAGGGTCACCGCCTGGAGAGAAGGCGGGAGCCGGGGTCAGGAAGGACCCCGACCCCGAGCTGTGAGCCTGGCCCGCAGCAGACCCATCCCACGTAGTGTGTGTGGGGTGCGTGTGTGTCTGTGTGTTGTGTTGTGTGTAGGGTTGTTCTTCAGCCCAGCACCAAGGGTGCTGTGACCCGAGGAGGCCCCCGGCCTGGCGGGATCAGCTCTAGTGTGCGTTGGCCTCGGTTCCGGGGCAGCGCAGATATTTTGTCATCCTGGGGCTGAGTCCGCCTTGCAAAGAGGCTCGCCCCAGCCCTCTGCCTCGGCTCTGGCTTCTCTCAAAGGCTTGATGGCTTCGGTGGGGAGTGAAACGTTGGGTGGAAAACCTGCGGCTGTGAGTTGTCCCGGGTTGGAGCCGGAGGGAAGGTTTGGTGACTGGGTGGTGCACCCGAGACGTTTGTGGAATGAGATGTGGTCTCCAGGTTTTCTGCCCCTTCCCTTGAATTCCTCTCTTGCCACCCTCTGCCCCACTCACCCCAAGAACTGTTATCTCCCTTTTCAGGGCTTCCTGGGGAGTTTCTTAAGCGATAGAGGACAAGAAACGGCAACTCAACTCTGTTGATCCAGAACCTTTGGAAAGCTTCTCGCCTCTGTTCAGAAAGAACCCCGTGGAAGTTCTCTACTGAAAAACTACCTTCCAGCACCTGATGACTCAGACGTGGGGCCTGGGTGGGGGGTGGGGTGCGCACTGGGCAGGGACCGTCCTTACTAAGTGGGTTTTCACCATCCTCCTGTGCCTCCTTTCTCTTGCCACCCCCCTCGCCCTGAGAAATTTTCTAAACCCCACCCCTGATTTTCTCCACTACCTCAGCCCGTAGGGTCAGGCTACCTGTGCCTAATGGCTCTTAGAGCAGGGGGGCTGGCTTTGGCCTTGGGAAACCCATTCACTTGCTCACATTTGTGCTCTGTGCTCAGGGAAAACAGCACCCCTGGCGCTACTCCTTCTGCCTCCACCTGGATGATCCTCTCTGCCCACTGTGTGGCCCAGGCTGAGAGCAGGAGGCTAGAAAAAAACAAAAACCATCCAAACGCCAACGTGGCTAGGGGTTTGTTTCACTAAGGCTACCTAAGCACCAGCCTCCCTCCCTTCAGACAGAGCTCTGATCTACCTCACAGCAGTTTGAGCAGGGCCCTTGCAGGAGGGCTCCAAGATTCGCAGACAGGTGAATCATTGGAAGGAATCTCTTCTTTGCTCTTTAATATCAGGTTAATAAATATGACCGAATGCCGTTGGTCTGTGGCTCCCCTTTCTCTCCGTGTGCTCTCTTTTCTTAGTCCACTTACTCCTCTCTCTTCAACTCAGAGCTGGTTTTGACAGTCACTGTAGGCCACAACTAAGCCTGGTCCCTTTCTTTCTAATCCTCATCACACAAAACATGGCAAGTCTGCTTGGGAGAAGTGGTGCTTGGGCACTCAACACTCCCACCCCCACCCCCCATCCCCTTCTGAAACTTCTGGAATCTAGTGGCAAGTGAGTCACAAAGTTGTGCTACTCATCGTACTGTATGGGACGCATGTCACTTTCCAGCTATTAGCTAATGGTGTATTCATTAGGCCCCGTTGCTCTCAGGAGATAGTTTTGTTAAGTGCTGTATATACGTCTGGGTGCTTAAGGCGTTGTTTGTGTTGGGTTATAAATATAGTCGGATGTGTCTCATTCTTTCCATAATCTCTACCTTCCCTCCTCCCTTCCTGAGCTACAGAATTCGTTATCATCCCCCTGGACCCAAAAGTGGAGTTCCCGGGGTTTGAGCTTTTTTGTATTTTTCTTATTCCAATTCTTTACAACCCTAACAAGCAGGTTTCCTATGGAAAGAAAACTTCTAGGGCCGTGAGGGAACCATTTGGTGGGCTCTAATTTAAAGCTCTGTGAGCAAGGACCACTGCTCAGGCCGCTTTACAAGATGCCCAGTAAATCACCAAGTGTTTAACGGGCAGTGTGACGGCAGCTTGCCATGCATTGGCTAGGTCCAGGGGATGCAGCGTCATAAAACTTTGATCTGCCTGCAGGATTAGCTCGGTGGACTTCCACATATGGGTGTTCCTTGGGAACTGGACCTGGCTTAGGCTGCATCCTTTTCTCTGGGAACACAGGTTTTATTTCTTTGGTTGTTTGCATACCAAAGTTGACACTTTCCTTTCCCACCCAGAGCAGGGGGGGATTTCTGGTGTCTGAAGTTGGGAAGGCTTCTTGGCAAGGTCTCTCACCTTCTGAACTGTGGCCCTTAGCCGAGAAGGAAGTCTTGCTGAAGCCTGGGGATAAATCATGTTCAAAAACAGCCTCTCCTCCCCATCTCCGAATTTTTTTTTTCTAACATCACTGAGGAAAGTTGGCCAGCCAGGCTCAGGTGGGGGGAGAAGAGTGATCTAGCGGGGAGCTCTGGTTTGTAGAATTGTCCTGGCACACTGTCCAGGATCTTAGATGGCTTGAGTCTCGCTTGACATGCACCCGTGTGCCAGCTGTCAGACTTCCCTTCGAGTGTTTAGACTTGCACTGGGGCTGTGGATTCTGTCTGCAGATTGTCACCAGAGCATCTGGCAGGTGGAGAGGCAGCTGCCTTGGTCATTTCTCCAACAACTTGTGGCCGGTTGTCAGGCGGAGGGAGATTTATATCAGCCTGCCGCTGCTAGCACAAGGCCTGACCACTTGAACTGCAGAAGACAAACAACCGTCCCCTTCACTTAGAGAGGTGAGCACTTACAGACCAATGGGAAGGAAAGAACTCATGGAGCGCTTGGCCTCCCCTGAGTTTATTAGTAGGGACTGTGACTGTTCTGGGGCAGAAGTGACAGGGAGAAGAAGGTGAGTGAGCGGAGAGGGAAGGAAGATTAAGTGGACTTTCTGGAGGTGGCCTACCAGTGCCTCAGGTGGAGCTGCTAGGGAGCAGAAAGAGGGCAAGGACGAGGCAGGAAACAGGTTTTCCTCAGCGCTTCCGGGGAATGGTGGTGAGCGCAGGGTGGGGTCCTCTTGGGGGAATCACTGGGATGTAATTACACACTAGCTTCATTTCTCAGTCCCTGTGGAGTAGGGCCCACTTCTCTCCTTGTATGTTTTCACTGCACCCAGCATGGTACAGTGGGGAAGAGTATAGAAATCAGGTCCCTCTCTGTTGAAATCCGCAAAGTCAAAGATCTAGACTTCTTTTCTTTTTTAAAAAAAATCATTTTATTGGGGGCTCGTATAACACTTACCACAATCCAACCATCCATCCATTGTATCAAGCACATTTGTACATTTGTTGCCCTCGTCATTCTCCAAACATTTTCTTTCTCTTTGAGCCCTTGGTATCAGCTCCTCATTTTTCCCCACTCTCCCTCCCCCTTGATAATTGATTAAAAATTCTTTTTTTCATGTCTTACACTGTCCGATGTCTTCCTTCACCCACTTTTCTGCTGGATCTAGACTTCTCTTCAAAGATCTTCTGCAAGTGTGTCTGTCCAGAGAGGAACCTGCATTCTGATTCCAATGCCCCCCTGAACTTTCCAGCAGGCGGAAAAGTCCTAGAGGTAGGTTACTGAGTAATGAGGCACAAGGTAGCTTAATTTGCAGAAGGTCATCTAATATTTTGTAGCTCATCCTGTTAGAAAGTTAAAGACCAAAAGGGTTCCCCCCAGTTTCCCCATCTATAAAATAAATAGACAACAAGCTTTGCTCACTTTCTTTAGAACGGGAACGATGTGACAAGTTTGGTTCTCTTAAACTTCTGGGCTGAGCTTCCCAGTTATTCTGGTTCAACCAGGCCAGAAGTGGTGCAAGGCGCCCCTTGCTGGTGGACTTGAGAGACAACACGTGTGGATTCGTGGTACTAGTCTAGCCAGGCAGCAAGAACCAGAGTTTTCATGAAGACAGTAAGCTATCAGAGTTATAAGCGACCATAGGAATAATTTACTTAAATTACAAATTAAAAAAAGATTTATTGACAAATAATTCACATGTCAATATTCACATGTCAGACAATTCCATTGTTTAAATAGATTAAAAAGAGATATGCAGCCATTACCACACTCCATTTCCCACATTTTCTTCATTATTATTAGTTCCTTATTTCTCCCAGCCTCTCCTGCCATAACCTTAAGAAGCTATTAATCCTGTTCAATCTTCTGATAATAAAGATAAAGAAACATTCCTCGAGGTTAAGTAAGTAGCTAAGTTTGCTCAGTGGAGACAGCGCTGTGATATTGTAGAGAATGAATCACAGATGACTTTGAGAGAAAGAACCACCACTCCATCTTCCAACGAACACAGAGCTGGAAAAAAACAACGAACAAGGGGAAAGGAAGGAAATGGCTACTTATTGAGCCCCTCGGGTGTAACAGCCAAACGCTGTAGGAGGTCTCGACAAATGTCACGTTCCTTTAATAGTGACAACAAATGAAAAAAAGAGCCTCATAGAAATAAATCGCTTGCTTGTGTTGATTCTAATTCAGGGTCCCAAAGTTCATTTTCTTTTCTCTCCAAGGACTGCTCATAATCAGTTGGTGACACTAAGCAAGTTACTTATGCTTTTACTTATTTATATATCTGTCTATTTATGCCTCTGTATCAAAGGGAGATTATATTATTGCTCGACTCAGGTCAAACAAACTGGCTTTGAAGACTAAATGAGACACTGCATGTGAATGTGGTTCATTCTTTGGAAAGTGTAAGGGCGCCCCCCGACGTAGAACCAGTTGTTTTTGCG